AAAGGAGCGATCTTTAAGGGAGACTGATCAACAAGCCCTAGTATATCATTGCTGTGCTGTGCTTAGTCACTCAGTCGTGTCTGACTCTTTGCAAGGCTCCTCTGTCCATGTGATTCTCCAGGCAAGAATACTGGAGTGGGTTGTCATGCCCTCCTCCAGAGGATTTTTCCATCCCAGGGGTCGAACCCAGGTCTCCCTCATTGCAGGCAGATTCTTTGCCATCTGAGCCATCAGGAAAGCCCAAGGATGCTGGAGTGGGTAGGCTATCCCTTCTGCTGGAGAACTTCCCGACACAGGAATCGAACCAGAATCTCCTGCATTGCAGGTGGGTTCTTTTACCAGTTGAACTACTGGGGAAGCCCAGTATATTATTGAGGCCAATAAATGCCTCCTTGGTCCCTAGGGCAGGTGAAACCGCGCCACCCACTGGCCGGTTCCCCACACAACGAGATGTCTCCAGGGGGCGCATTTGCTGAGTTTATTATTTCAAAGTATCCCAGAGGCAGTGATCCCAGATTTAATATGAGGCTCTCCCAGAGATGCCAGTTCCTTTTAGGAGAATTTTCTATATTCTAATTTTGTTTCACCCCCAGATTTCTACTTCTTTTACTAAAGCCAAATTCTTTCCAAAAAGGGAAGGGGTTCTTTGGCTCTTGCCTTACCCATGCAGCATACATTTTCATTATTCCTTCCTCTTTCTGGTCTTCATCGGCTTGCAGACAAGTTTATATCGCTGAAGGTGTATCGAATTGATACAACTTTTTATGATCATTCTTAAAATTTACTGAGTGCTACTGTGTACCCTACCCTGTGCTAAGAGCTGACAGCCACTTAAGAGTTTCATTGGATTTGCATAACCACTATGTAGGTTATCTGATTAGTCTTGCTTTCTAGATGAGGAAACTGAGGCTCAAAGCAGATATTCACAACCCTCTACTGTAACATTGAGAGTCTGGAATTTGGTAGCAGGTGTTTGAGAGTGATACAATTTGTGAAATTTCTGGGCAAATCACTTAATGCTTTTGAGTCTTGGATAATGATTCCTTCCTACCTCCTGGGATCATTGAGAGCTGAAAGGAGTTGTGTTTGTGAAGGTGCTTGATAAACTGTAGGCTTTATTATAGTTCTAAACAATGATTTATATCTCTTCATTAATAATCTTCCTGTTATTGTAGTTAAAAAAGCGAATAGAATTGGCTACCCTTTGGGTCAAAAAAGGTAAATATAGAGATTTCTACCCATTCAAACATATCAAGATTGTCAGGAGAAATATCAACAACCTCAGATATGCAGGTGACACCACCCTTATGGCAGAAAGCAAAGAAAAACTAAAGAGCCTCTTGATGAAAGTGAAAGAGGAGAGTGAAAAAGTTGGCTTAAAACTCAACATTCAGAAAACTAAGATCATGGCATCCGGTCCCATCACTTCATGGCAAATAGATGGGGAAACGATGGAAACAGTGACAGACTTTTGGGCGGGGGGCTCCAAAATCACTGTAGATGGTGACTGTAGCCATGAAATTAAAAGACCCTTGCTCCTTGGAAGAAAAGTTATGACCAACCTAGACAGCATATTAAAAAGCAGAGACATTACTTTGCCGATAAAAGTCTGTCTAATCAAGGCTATGGTTTTTCCAGTAGTCATGTATGGATGTGAGAGTTGGACTAAAAAGAAAGCTGCGTGTTGAAGAATTGATGCTTTTGAACTGTGGTGTTGGAGAAGACTCTTGAGAGTCTGTTGGACTGCCAGGAGATCAACCAGTCCATCCTAAAGGAGATCGGTCCTGGGTGTTCATTGGAAGGATTGATGCTGAAGCTGAAACTCCAATACTTTGGCCACCTGATGCAAAGAACTGACTCATTGGAAAAGACCCTGATGCTGGGAAAGATTGAATGAGGGAGGAGAAGGGGATGACAGAGGATGAGATGGTTGGATGGCATCACTGACTCAATGGGCATGAGTTTGAGCAAGCTCTGGGAGTTGGTGATGGATGGGGAAGCCTGGTGTACTACAGTCCATGGGGTCGCAAAGATTCGGGCACGACTGAGCGACTGAACTGAACTGAGAGATTTCTAGAAGGATGCAGGAAACCTAAAAGCAGTATACGCTTCTTGGAAGGGGACCCGTGTGGCTGGAGACAGGGGTAGGACGGGAGCTTGTCACTGTGCACTTTTATACTGTTTGGATTGAATGTGTTGCCTATTCAAAACAATTGTTAAAAGGACAATGCTAATTCAAAATCCACTCAAGAAAAGGACTAGTTAATTTTACTGTATAATAATTTAAAAAAATAAAATTTTAAAAGACAGATTCCTCAAAAAAACTGAATAACCGTATGATCCAGCAAGTTGTCTTCCAGGTATATACCCCAAATAATTTGGAAACAGGAATTTGAACAACAGGTATTTGTACACCCAGGTTTGTAGTAGCATTATTTACAATGCTGAAATGTAGAAGCAATTCTACATTGACAGATGGATGAATAACCAAAATGAGCCATACATACATGTAACAGAATTTTATTCATCCTTAGAAAGGAAAAAATTTTGACATGTTACTTAATGGATGAACTCTGAAGACATTTACGCTAAGTGAAATTAGACAGTCATGCAAGAGCAATTATTACATGATTCCACTCATATCTAGAGTAGTCAGATTCATGGAGAATGGAGGAAGGAATCCCCTAGCAGTCCAAGGAACTAAGCTCATTTAAGTCACAGAGTGAGACAAAAAAAAAATTTTTTTTAATTCATAGAGACATAAAATGGTAGTTGCAGGGCCTGTTGGGGAAGGGTATGGGAAGTTAAGTGTTTGATACCGAGATTCAGTTGGGGAAAATGAAAAATTTCTGCAGACAGATGGTGATGAAGGCTGCAAAACAATTCAAGTATACTGAATGCCACAGAGCTGTACATTTAAAAACGGTTAAAATGGGCAATTTTATGTTATGTATATTTTGCACACACACACACACAAAAACCCTAAGCAATCAAAAGTAAAGCACATTCCTTAATAAAGGAAGGAAAGGAAGAAGGAAAAAGGGAAGGGAGGAAGAAAGACTGTAGACTGCACTTAGTGTTTCTGAACTGGACAAACATGTCAGGATCTGTAAAGAGTCAGAATCTTGTGATTTCACCCACTCCTTTGAAAATGTAAACGTTATGTTTAGAACGACATTGAAAGTAGGGGGAGCTGCCAGGGCCAGTAAGTCCCAGGAGGCTGGAACTGCCATGGGAGCCCCACGGTCTAATTGGTCCCTTCCCCCACCCAGGACCGGGCCAAGGCCCTGGCTCTGAACAGGCAGCTCCGGAAGCAGCTGTCTGAGTTCCGAGCGCCACAGGTGATGATGTATATCCGGGAGAAGATCCGCAACGGGGACCTGGAGAAGACCATCAGGATGTGGGAAAGGAAAGTGGAGATCGCAGAGGTGAGTCCCAAGACCCCCCAGTGTCTTATGCACTGTACCCACCCTCATCTTTTGTTTAGGATTTTGTCTTCTGAGCTAAGAATGCAGGCGTTTGGAAGTGTAATGTCTGTGAGAAATCTCAGTCATTGCTTCAACGCTTACACCAAAATAAAAGATGGCTTTTTGAAAAAGTTTTTCCCTTAAAGCTCCTTTTTCTTGTTAGAGACAGGGCCTTTTCAGGTTATCAGGAAGACACTCTGTAGCAATAGTGTGTTTTTAGTTGCTTATTTTCTTACTGAATTCTGGAAGCTTCTGAGTCCCTCTTCCCACCGTGGATAATTAAGTGATTGCTATTTAATACATGGATAAGCCAGGTTTTTTAAAAATGAGATAATAATGGATTTTAATACCACTCAGAGCCTGATTCCATGCATTTACACAGTTGACATGGGTCTTTCCGCTGACTAAGTCCGCAGCCTTTTCATACGGTACAGTGTGCCCGGAAGCCCCCTTGCCCATTGTGAGCTGTGGAGAAGAAAAAGGAAAAGTGCAAATGAAACGCTGCGGTCTGAAAAAAGATAAAAGGGAAGCACTGAGACTGCCACAGGCCAGGCTGCACAGACAGGACACTAGAGACATCCTTAGAGCAGTGCAAAAACCCAGTCAGGTCACTTGGGAAGCTTAGCGTTCTGGCATGTAAACCCCAGGTCCTTTTTCCAGGGTGCTTCCTTCTGCCTTTCCCGTGGTCACTTGGCAGCAGGATAATAAACTAGGGTCCAAACATGGGCCCATCATATTTGGGGCCAAGAAGCAGCAGAGAATCACACCAGGAGCCTGCAACTTCTCACTTCACAGAACAGAAACAAGCTCTTTAGGAGAATCTTCCGATGCCCCAAGGTGGCCGGTGGCCACCGCCTGCACGCAGACACTGCGCCCAACACAAGGTCATCCGCGCCATCACAGGGCTGGATGCGGGTGCGATTGGCACAATCCATTTGTCTCAAATGACCATCTCCCCCCACCCCACCCCACCCCCCCTTCTCCTTTTGTAGATGTCCTTGAAAGGCTACCGCAAAGCTTGGAATAAGATGAAAAGCACCAATGAGCAGTTGCAGGCAACTTCCGGCCCTGGGAAATAGCCAGAAGGAAGCTACGGCTGCCAACCAAAAAGTGATCCATTAAAGTCATCAGCTCCTGTCTAAGTCATGGAGTCCGCTCACTGTTCCCTGTGCTGGCTGGGGTCCCCAACTCTCCAGCCAGGCTGCCGGTCACCTCCCAGGCCACCTCAGCCCCCTGGGGAAGTGTTTTCACAGCCTGGCCCCGGGAACCCGGGAACACTGAAAGAAACACAGGGCACTCTAATGGTTTGACACTTGTTAGCCCACGTTTAGTTCACAAGCACACACGAAAGCGACCTTCCTGCTCCCGGAAGGGAGAGGGAGCCGGCCCAAGTCTGAGCCGCGGGCCTATCCACGGCAGCCCAGCTGCGCGACTCTCAAAAAGACACCGAAACACAGCATGGTGAATGCCTGGCACTCAGCGTTCTGAGCTTCCTCCTCGGTTTGGAGGGCTGGCTCCTAGACGAAGATCCCATTACCAAAGAAAACTAGCGCAAAGGAAAAATAAGGTTATTTCTTGGGGCTGATGTAACCTGGTCTGGCCTGAAGGGGGCGCAGGCGCCATGAACTCCCCACCGTAGTAGTCATAGTACGTGGGCTGGATGGCCATCTCAGACCTGCCTGGCTCCCTCCGCCCCTTTTCCCGGAGGTCTAGACTCATTTGAGTGCCATTGTCTGGCAGTGAACGCGTGGAATGCAGGGTGGACCTTTCTTGTCCTTGGAAGGATAGTCGGGGCCACGCAAGCTGGCTCAGCCCAGCCTGTTTTCTGTGTGTGACGAGATCACGTGATGAGTAGCTGGGTAAAGGACTGGGGTTCTCCCAGTGATGGAAGGAAGACAGGGGGGAGCTGGTCCTCCTGGTTTTGGACGTGATCCAGTCGCTGTAGTCTTCCACCCTGATGTAGAGAAACAGGCCCGGGCATTTCTCCCCTCCTTGGGACAGGATTCCTCTCAGCACCCACAGACTCATTTCCTTCAGCTGGCACATCATCGGGTTTCCCGGGTCCCCCTGTGATAAAGGACAGAAGGCTTCAGGTCTTAGGAAGAAAACTCGTTCTCTCTCTTTTAAAAAAATATGTCCTAGTACTATTTACTCTCTGTTCTAGAAAAGTTTTACACTATTCTGGCCTGTTCTCGCTGGTTCTCCCTAGAAATGAGATAAATTATAAGATACTGTTTCTAATCTAGGCCACTGTCCCCACAAATTCCAACAAGATGACTTTTTCTTTTATCATACAAATTATTTGAAAGCTCCTGCAGTTTGCCTGTAGCTTCCTGGTTCCCACTTCATTTTCTTGCCCCTTTCCAGGCCTTTGAATAAATCTTACCTCTCTTCTGGTTTCTCACTTCTCAAATGTTATTTTGTTCCTTTCTGGCCTGGAATGGGCGGGTTTTTCCCTTCTCTTCTCTGTTTTGTTTCAATTTAAGCTGCTCACACCCACCCACAATCCAGCTAGGGTCAGAGTCAGGCTTCTGGGGGAGCATATGCCACCAGGCTGGACTCACAGATGAATCAGCCTGGCAGCTGTCAGCCAGGCACCCTGCCCCCGCTATCCCCATCCAAGACTCTAGAGAGCTGTCCTCCGGGCCTCGGGAGCTCTGCCATCCAGACTTGATCTCCCTTCAGGTGAGTGGGCAGGAGCCTAACACACCTGGCTGGGTATGTAACCCTGGCAGGTTACCTAATTCTCTGAGCTAAACTGGGACTCAGTTCACCTCTGTGACACCGGCAGAGGTCCTAGCACAGTGCCTGACCTCCAGGATGCACTCAGTAAACAATTAGCTGCTATTACCCTGGTATCGAGAAAAGGCCATCGTTTTTACATGAAAAACTGAGAAATGTGGAAAAAGAAATAAGGCAGCAACTAGGAATAATTTATCTTAACTGTCCTCTCCCGCCCCCATCCCTCAGGCCTCCTCTTAAAGGAATACCTGCTCCCCAGCCCTGGCCTGTGGTCCATCTTGGTCCAGGCGGGGGTGGGTTTATCATTGAAGGCTGGGCGATTACACTTCACTCTCACTGTCTGGACTGAGGCATGGGGGAGGGGGCTTACAGTTGACAATAGCAAACAGTCTGAACAGATTCAACCATGAGAATCAGAGAGGCGCAAAAGTGGTCAACATCAGTCCCTGCCGGTTGCCAGGCCTCAGTGCCCGAGCCTTCTTGGATGTCTATGCACTTGCAGCCTCTTTCGCTGAACCCTCCTTTTTCTGAGGAAGCCATGCCAGAACAGAAATGAACAGGAGAAGACAAGAGCCACTCCGTAAGCAGGGCCAGGGGAGGCGTGCTTGGCAAGGCTGCCATAATTCCCTGGTTGTCTCACGGCCACACACACATGAGGATAACATTCTGGATTTTGTTCTGTGCCTCTCATCAGAAGGAAGGGGGTGCTTGAGTGTGGAACTCTTAATTTTTCAGCTTTTCACACTCTACTGTTTTCATCCCTTTCTGCCAAACAGCAGAAGGTAGAAACTTCATCCCAGAGCTCTGGCCAGTCCTCCTGGGACTGGTGAACAGGCTCTTTCTTCTGCACCCTGTTGTGTCTGCCTGGGGCACAGAGGGTTTCTGGCCAAGCGTGGAGTAATCTCCACCGTGTTCACCAGACCCACTCCCAGTTTGTTTTAACTGTGCTTTTACAGTTTGAGGGAGAAAAGGAATGCAGTTCAGGATAAATAGTTTGACAAGTGCTTGTGTGGTTGCCATCCCTGGTGCTCGGGTGGTTTTGTAAGCTGCTGTTCCACTCCGATGTAGAATACGCTGCTTCTTCTCTTCTCCATAACCTGTAAGGCTGAGACCTCTGTAGCACAAGCAATGGAGACAAACAGTACCAGCTGCTCCTCTGGAGCAGTCTCAGCTCATCTCCTGGGGGGGCGACCCTTTCATTGGGCGATCCTCAACCTCAACATTCAGCAAAAGCCCTAACAGTTTGGGAAGAAGGAGGAGTGAATTCAGAGTGATTCTGCTTCTGTTGGGTCTCTGGGGACTCAGAACAGATACGTGAAAGTGAAAGTCACTCAGTCGTGTGCGACTCTTTGAGACCCCATGGACTGTACAGTCCATGGAGTTCTCCAGGCCAGAATAACTGGAGTGGGTAGCCTTTCCCTTCTCCAGCAGATCTTCCCGACCTAGGAATCGAAGCAGGGTCTCCTGCATTGCAGGTGGATTCTTTACCAACTGAGCTATCTGGGAAACCAGAGCATACACTGAACCCAGGTGAATTATTCTACATGTGAGAAGTGTGGGTTTGAGGACTCCTGGACACTAGAACACAATTCCTGGGACTCTAGCTAGACAAGGCACTGTTTCTTTTAATGGTCTGAGACAGTTTGTAAGCATAATTCTCTTAAAAAGCAAAGGACTGTCTACAGGTGTGCTGCAGTTAAAAACCCATCTGAATTTTGTGGGTGGTTTAAAGAAGTGATCATTTAGACTGTAAGCAGTTTGTGTGTGCTGTGTGCTAAGTCATTTCAGTTGTGTCTGACTCTTTGCGACCCCATGGACTGTAGCCGCCAGGTTTCTCTGCCCTTGGGGATTCTCCAGGCAAGAATACTGGAGTGGGTTGCCATGTCCTCCTCTAGGGGGTCTTCTCGACCCAGGGATCAAACTGGAGTTTCCTGCATTACAGCAGATTCTTTACCCCTGAACCACTGGGGAAGACTGCAAGGAGTTTAACATATTCCTATGCATCTAAGATTCTCTTAAAACTTTCTATCTTTGAAATGGGGTGTGTCTTTTAATCAGTTGATTCCAGAATTTCCATGCACTTTTCTTCCAGCATTTTTTCCTTCTCAATATTACATAAAATAATGGTGTGCTCTACAACTGATAGCATCTGGATCTGATGAAGTGTGGCTCTAGATTGATGTAGTGGCTGATGGCAGGATTTTGCTAAGTATCTACATCATCTTCTGTATTTTAACACATTCTCTAAGAAGTTGCTACAGTCCCGCATCAGACAGAGCTCAGTACAATGTCGGTTCAGTTGCTCAGTCGGCTCCAGCTCTTTGTGACCCCATGGACTACATTGCAGTACAGTGTAGAACACTCGTTAAGTGTTAAACCAGCTTTGGAAGAGCAAACTTATTGTCTGATGAAAGGCAGTCCTTCATGCTTTTGCAGTGAAATGACTTTGAGAAAGAATTGGCCACATCTAAGTATTTTTTCCCTTTCTCTTAAAAAAAACTTTTCCTTAGCCCTCTGAAAAAATTTTCCCACTGGGGAATCCTGAAGACTATTTTGAGAAAAGTGGTTGATGGAGTAAAAAATGGCAGGATTTTGCTAAGTAGTGGTTGATGGAGGGAAAATTTGGAAGTCTGGCAGACCTGGGTTCTCGTCTTTAATGTTTATTAACTGTGTGGCCCTGGTAAGCCACGCTTTTTCCAGGTATAAATACAAGGGCCATGGACAAGTGTTTATGAATTCTGTGCATTTTCCTGAGGCAGTAGGACAGCCCACATCCAGGTAGAGGGCAGGGTTTCTTATCGGAAAAAAGAAACCCAGTAGCTGATGAGCAATAGCATCAGTCTAGGTTCCAAAGAAGCCAAATATAGTGAGCCTATGCTGTAAGCACACTCAACAGATATCCCCATGTGTGGTTGGGACTCATTCTTTCAGACTTTTAGCTCATGAAAAAATATGTTACTTAGCCATGCTTAGTTATGTCACACCAACAACGGTGACTGGTTAGTCCATTCAGCAGATGGTTATTGAGCTTTTTATTATTATTATTTTATTTTTTATTATGTATTTATTATTATTGTTGAGTTATTGAGCTTATTTGCCAAGTGCTGCTCATCCTAGAGATATCTGTGAATCCCCAGTGACAGTCCCTGACCACACGCAGCTCACCATCCAGCCAGGGGGTGTCCCCAGGGCCCCCGTGAAGTAACCTCTGCTTACTCTCAGCTTCTGTTCCACCGTGTTCTTACCAAGCAGACAGCGTTGGTCTCCATCTCTAGGTGGTTGCCACATCCTGTTTTCTGTACTCTGTCTAAGGGACACGAGTCAATGTCTTTCACGGAGATTTTCCTCAGGATACTCATTGTCATGTGATTTCCTGTCTGGACCATGCAATAGAGAGCCCAAGAGTTATTAACAGGAAGACATTCCCCCAAGTCAGCTCAACTACAACTCACATATCCAGATGGCAGTCAGTAAGAAATGTTTAATAAACCCCCTTTTCCTCAAAGAAATCACAACTTGTGTCTGGTTTTTTTACTGAAGACTACCTCTGTGAAAGCCAAGAAGCTGAATGTGAAAGCAGGCAGAGAATGTTTACCCTTTCTTTTCTTTTTCTTGTTTGCTTCCCAAGAATCAGAGAAAATAAGGATGGGTCAGAGAAGAGGACTGAAAGCTCTGGTTCAGGGAATGATGTCCCCTCACCCCTCAGTAACCTTGCAGTCATTTCAGGCATTCGCTACCCATGTATGTCCAATTTTGGTGTAAGGATAAAAGAAAAAGGACCAAATGTAAAAGTGACCTCAAAGAGGGCAAGCACTGGGAATCCTGACCGGTTCAGTGGGGGTCCCAGCCCAACTCCAGAACCTCAGGCCACCTGAATTATCGAGCTAAGCCCTGGAATGGTTCACCCTGGTCACCCCCGCCGCTGGCACACACACAGCCTGCTCTAGGAGAAGGAAGCCATTAACTGCAGATGTGGGGTTCCATCCTGCCACCCAGCAGTTCAGCAGGAGTGGCGGCCTGTTCAGCTTTTGGCCGAGGAAGCAGATGGGCTGGACCAGGCTGTTGAACTGCATCGCTGTGTCTGTCTTCAGGAGGGCTATGTTATTTCTCATCGTCTTATTGTCGAAGTCCTCATGGATGATGATGGTGTTGATAGGATACTCTTCATGAGCAACCAGTTTTGCATCCATCTTAGCTATACCAATTATAGCCACAGCATCCTTCCTGGAGAGAGAGAACAAGGAGGTCTTGAGAAGCCGAGGCACCGAGGAAGCTTCACACGTCCCTGTTTTCGTGTTTATTGATTTTTCTGCTCCGTCCAACTCATCTTCCTGGGGCTACTTTTTAACTCATCTTTTTGAACCCTGTTCCCAGGAAAATTTTTTTTTTTCATTTTATTGACGTGTAGTTGATTTACAATGTTGTATCAGTTTCTGGTATACAGAAAAGTGATTCAGTTTTTATATTCAGTTCATATATATTGTATATGAAATACATGAAACATTCATATATTGTATATGAAATATATTTCACACATATAAATGTATTCCATATATTATATACAATATATTACAATAATATATTTTATTTTTCATATTCTTTTCCATTATGACTTATCACAAGATATCGAATATAGTTCCCTATGCTACAGTAAGACTTTGTCATTTATAGATTTTATAGTACTTTGTTAGGAAATCTTTTCTGAACCCCTACACTTGTGCCATCATCCTTTAAAGAGTCTTCTATCTTACAAGCATATAGCCTACCACCTAAAGATAATCTGGTATGTTATGGCTGATTATCTTTCTTCTATGCTTATTTATTTGTGGATCTAAAGTTAAAATGAAAGAAAAACTTTTAAAGCCATAGATTGGAGTCGTAATGTAAACCCTGGCAATAATCAAATGGTGTAACAAAAACTGAAAAGAAAGCAGAGGTGGGTTGCATACACCAATTTTCTCATCTTTCATGGGAGTCTAAACTGTTATTTATTTACAGGTAATATATGAAATAACAAGAGTGTGCAGACGTTAAAGTACATAAGTAACCTATTAACATTGAGTGGTCATGAGGAGAGAAGGAAAGAGTGAAACGATAGGAATTCCGGCATCAGCCATGGGAGAGTCTTGAGAGGATGATCCAGAGAGAGAAGACTTGGGTATTTTCCATGAAATTATAACTCTAAGATGAACACATTTGTAAGAAAACAAATTCAAGCTTTCCATATCTGTTAGAAGAGACCTATGAAACAAAGCCATATAATGAAAAGGAAAACTGGAAGCAAGAAAAACAGAAGACATAATCTAAAAACAAAAAGCAGGAGTTTTATTCTGAATATCAGAGCAGAAAAGCATGCAGCAAGACAAAGAAAGGCTTCTCATGGTGATAAGGAATTTGATCTACAATGAAGAATTCATTGCAACAAGTGACACGATGTTCATGAATTAAATTCTAGGAAATGAAGAAAAAACCAGGAGTTTGTAATTTGCCTTGGTCAGCCCAGGAAAGATCAAGTAGACTCCATGCTCCAATTTTATATATTAAATTATATTCCAAGGACAGAGGTGAACTTTTTAATTTACCTATGAAAATAGTCACATGGATCATGTAGCAGACCCCAAGACAACATGAACAAATTCCTTAATAGATCACCTTGCCATCTAACTCAAAATTAAATCATGTTAGAAAACAAAGCAAAGCATCCTATCTCCTGGATATTTTTAAATGGTCTTTAATAAAACCCAGAGTCAAAAAGGAAATCAACCAAACCAGCAGATCAGATAGAAAATAGCAGTAATGAAATCGCTACGAAGAAAACAACCTCTCTGGCGGGCTGGTGGGCAATATATATAGCACATATGGTGTTTTTTTTTTTTTAATCTGGTTTAAAAGAATGTCCCTTTACTGTAAACCATTTGGAGAATACAGAGAAGTTCAAAGAAGAAAACAGGAATCATGGGTGCTCTGAGCATCCAGAGATGGGCTCTCTTCAAGTGTTTGTATATTTCCTTCAAGCCTTTTCTCTATGTGCGTATATCTGTGGCAGTCTCATGGTTAAGGTCTGAGGTTTAAGTGTTTTAAATTTATCCTATCAATTCCCTTAACAAGACTCCTTGTTAGGAGTCTTATCGGTTCCCTTAACAAGATAAACAGCAAGGACTTCTAAGTGTCAAGAGTCAGTGCCTTTGTGATTATAGTGCATAAAACGGGAGCCAATATCCTTCCTACAGAGGATGGCGAGCGCATCCTTTCACTCCACAGTGGTGCAGCTCTTGGTCCTTACTGCAGAGAAGACACAGACTGTGCCGACTTTGGCAGCTGGTGATTTTAGGACCCCCAAGCTCACAGCAAGCCCTGAGCTGGTAAAACAAAGAAAAAAAGCCGTGTTGCCTTGACCCCAGGAATCCACCTTCCAGGCTTCCCCAAGCTGAGCAGGAAGCAGAGTCCGCCGGAGCCCACCCTGCCTCAGTGGGCTGTGTCGGCTCCAAAGCGGGGGTACTGGCCTGTTCTGAAAGGTGGACGCGATGCTGAGGATCCAGAAGTCACTGAGGATGGTGCCGAAAGTCAGGTGGGTGTACTGGGAATCCTGCAGCGACACCACCCACGGGAACTCCTTCTCTTCCACCAAACCCTCCTCGGAAGTGACCGCAATGTTGCTTTTCTGGATGCCGCAACCTGGAGGGGGTGTGCAGGTGCCTGACTGCTGGGCAAGCAGCTGGAGGCCTGTAGCTGTCACCACCACCGCCACATCAGACCTCAGGACCCGCTCTCTCTCCTGCTGTTTCCCCCACTTCTTCTGGCTTGCCATAACCATACCACCCTCGTTTATTTTCCTAGGAGGTCTTCTTTCCCATCAAAGACCCTTCGTGACATCTTTGAATCTGAAAATGTTAGGCTAGCGATGATCACTCTCGTCTGTTGCACTCTTAGCTCTTAGCAGATTTGTCGTTTGTTTAGTCGCTAAGTCACGTCCAACTTTTTGTGACCCCACGGACTGTAGCCCGCCAGGCTCCTCTATCCAGGGGATTTTTCCAGGCAAGAATACTAGAATGGGTTGCCATGTCCTTCTCCAAAGGATCTTCCTGACCCACGGATTGAACCCACATCTCCTGCATTAGCAGGCGGATTCTTTACCGTTGGGGGCTTCCAGGTGGCTCAGTGAAAAAGAATTACCTGCCAATGAGGGAGACCAGGGAAGTCCCACTTAGCTTATACTAAGCTGTTTATCTGAAATCTTTCATATATATCAGCAGTTCTTAAAGTGTAGTCCGGGAACTTCGGGAGTCCTCAAGACCCTTTCTGGGGCCTGCCAGGTTAAAACTATTATCTGGACACCGGGTCCCAAGGCCAGTTGGCTCCTTATGCGTTAGGACTTGGGGAGAGCCACTCACCTCTCTGGGCTTCAGTTTCCTTTTATGAGAGGTGGGGTAACGCACACCTCTCACAGGAGGAGAGGTGTGCCCCATGACTATAATGCTGAGCTCAGTGGATGATGGCATTACCCACCCCCACTGCTCTGGTAGCCTCTGCGTGAGTGCCCAGCATGTGTGTCTAAGTTGGTGTCCTGGGCGCTCTGTGTCACGTGGCGGGTAGCCCCGGCTGGCAAGGTCGGGTCATCGGTGGCTTCTTTTCATCCATTCATCTAACTACACACACAGCCCTGCCGAGTTAGGGGCTGGGCTAACGGGACAGATTTCAGGGTCCTGTCCCCACCCCAGGGGAGGCCCCAGTGCATGGGGGAGACAGACACGCTGAAGAGTGACAGTGTACAGAGAGACCTGTGACACAAGAGACTGTCCCCAGAGTACACAGAAGAGGGGACATGCGTTTTGCCCAGAACATGAAGTCTGGGAGGGCTTCCCCCAGGAGGTGACCTCTGAGGTGAGCACCAGTGGCAGAGCGTTTCCAAACCGTGATGCTGGAGCTGACTGGATATTCAGTGCAGTCATCAAAGGACCACTCCGTGCCAGGGTACCATGTGATCAGATCACATCTCTGTGAACTGACAGTTGGAGACTTTGCTGGAACAGTGACAGAGCTGGTTGTTAGCAGGATGATGGCTGCAAGGCCATCGAGTGCTTCAGGGTCACCAGAGATGGGAATTCTGGCTTGTTTGTTTTTTTCCACAGGATATTGGCCATCTGTGGTGAACAAGGCACTAACCAACCCTTCCTCATGCAGCAAGAATCTATAAGTGTGTGATGACTTTTACCTTTTCAAAGTTCTCGTTGGCTGATTCATTCATTCATGACCTTATAAAATCCTTGAGAGGCCAGGATATGATGAGGAAATCTGTCCCAGAGATGAAATGTTGACCCCAGGTCACTTGCCTGAGGCTTTTTAAGAGGGGAGGAAAGGCCTTTCCTGTTTTGTCTCCTTGGCCTGCAAGGAGGTGGAGGCCAGGAAGGTGGGTCGGTCCCGGTCCCCTTGGTGTGTGTGCGGGTGTGTGGGGAGCTCTCTCCTGTCTCCTGTTTAACTCCAGGAAGATGGAAGAGAGTCAGCTGGGCTGGCAGGAGCTGGCACAGAGGCTGTTTTCATCAGGTGCCCCACCATCTGCCCCGTTCCAGGCTGGAATCTATAACCTGGGGATCAGGGAGGTGACTGCAGCTGCCACTTCTGCCGACTGAGGCCAGGCAGCCTCTAAGGCACCTCTCCCTGCCCCTGGGCCCAGCCCTGCAGCTGGGGATCAGTTTAGAGGTAATGTTAAAGTTTAAGGATAAAGGCCTTCACCCGAAGCTGAAATAGAAACACTTGAAAGGCCTGGTTCCCAAATGCATAAGACACATCTTGCCCTCCACTTACTCACCCCTGCACTCCAGCTCAGGAAGGATGGAGCCTGGAGGATAGGTCCTGGGGAGAGCAGGGGCAGGGGCTGGGAGTGGGGAGCCAGGAGCTCATGCCAACCCCCTCTGCCCCCCTCTCCCGGGGCGGGGGCCCTCTCTGTAGCCTAAGCTTTATTTTCCTAACCAGACTTTCTCCGAAGACTAGTCCTGACACCAGATTGCTCAAGCCAAGTGTCCTACATCCACCCCCGACGTTCCACTTCTTCCCCTGGTTCCCTCCATCAACTCATGCTGCCCGGAGCACGGCGTCGTGAGTCACCCGCCTCCGAGTCCCTCTCTGGACATTAAAAGGACAGTTTCCTTTTCTGGGATGATTCCCCCTGCCACGTCACACGGTCAGCTGAAGTCGTGACGGGAGAGCAGAGAGAGAAGCACACTCACTGGCAGACGCGTGGGAGACGCAGAGCAGCAGCAGGAGCGCCCCTCTCATCGCTGCCATCCCCAGAGACGGCCGCAGCAGACACCATGGGCAGCTGTGAACACAGAAGTCCCGGGCGCCTGGCCTTCTCCTCTCCTCCCCGAGGTGGTGACATCCCTCACCCCCACCCCCGTATCGGAGTCCCTGTCCCTTGCCTTTCCACCCACAAAACTTCCGAGACACGGGAATCAGACCTGTTAGGTCCCTGTTCTTTGGTTCCAAGCAGTAAGGAGGCCAGGACCAGCTGCCCAGCCCTGATGTTCAGCCAGTGACTCGGAAGACGGCCCAGGGAGAGGAGGCAGCCACCCTGGTTGGTCTTCTGCACAGCCCAGCCAGGGTCCCTGGGTTTCCCCACAGCGTCAGGTCTCAGAGAAAGGTTATTTTTTGACTCGTGGAATTCAACTCTGGCCTTAACTCTGTAGCCATAGGATGCTGCTGAAAAGCACAATGTGGGGGTTCTGTAGAAGCCCACCCTGGTTTTGCCCCTCTTATGGGTTTCCCTGGTGGCTCAGATGGTAAAGAATCTGCGTGCAATGCAGGAGACCTGAGTTTGATCCCTGGGTTGGGAAGATCCCCTGAAGAAGGGAAAGGCTACCCACTCCAGTATTCCTGCCTGGAGAATTCCACGGACAGAGGAGCCTGGTGGGCTACAGACCATGGGGTCTCAGAGTCGGACACAACTGAGCAACTGAACACATTAAACTCTGCTGGCTTAAGTAATGCTGGGCTTCTTTTCACTGATGACAGCTCAGATTTTTACATGGTAACCGCCCCAGCATTTCACTCAGTTCATTCACACAGTAACCCTGTGAAGTGGACACCGTCATCATCCCCATTGTGTGTGTGTGTGTGTAAAGTCGCTGAGTCGTGTCTGACTCTTTGCAATCCCATGGACTGTGGCCCGCCAGGTTCCTCTGTCTGTGGGATTTTTTTTCCAGGCAAGAATACTTCAGTGGGTTGCCATTTCTTTCTCCGGGGGATCTTCCCAACCCAGGGATTGAAGCCCTCATCCCCATTTTACAGATTCGGAAACTGATACTCAGAGACCATAAGAATCCCACCCAAGGTCAGCCAAGGCTGCCCGGTTGTGGAGCTGGAGTTCAGAGCCCAGGCGTGCTCCTCCATCCCCTGCACCACCAGGCCTGCCCTCGCCTCAGACAATGCACAAGGGCCCTGGGAACCCGTGAGGGCTGTTCTCAGTCACCATGTTCCACTCATGATGCCAGACGTTTCTTGCCGTCAGGATGGTTCTCAGAGTTCTTCCGTGAACTGCTCCTGCAAAAGGAGAAGTGAACTCACTCTGACCTTATACCGCAGAGCTCAACTGAGGGATTCCTTCTAGCACCTTGGGAAGAATATTCCATTGTGGCATCACGGTTACCATGGAGCCATGAAGCAAACGTCTGGACATGGGGACACGGGAGGAGCGGGGATGAAAAGCCGGCCTGTTTCATAAACTTGGCAGGGCTACTCTAGAAGCCGGCCTCTCCCCAAGTCTGGCTGAGACAACTTCCCTTTCGCCAGGTCACAGCACCCTGTCCAGTCACGGCCGTGGTCTGTCTGCCTCCTCGGCACCCGCCCTGTGTCTACATGAGTCTGTCCGACTGGAGGGAGGAAGCCCACGACTTGGGAGGGTCTGGTTTTTCCAACCCCAACAGCATTCTTATACTCCCAGTGTGGTTTCCTGGAGGCTCAGCCCAGTTTTCTTTAGCCCCCCCAGCTTGTGGGTCCACGTGGAGCTACCAGAAGTGCCCTGCCAGACCACAATTGCTAGGTGGGTCTGCATCCAGCGGCTACAAACAGCCCAGGCTTCGCACAAGGGCCAGGACTTCAGAAAAGTGTTGACAACGTTGTGGCCAGATGTAACTCCCCAGACCCAGAGGGCTGCTGGCATTGACTGGACAGATGAATGACTGATAGGTAAAGGAGGACTGGATAGAAAGCAAAACCTGACGAGAGAAACCATGGCCTCCTTCCCGTCTTGGTTTCCTTAACATCCATGCTGTGTGCCTCGCCAGCCTGCATCACCTCCAATCCCAAGGAGGGAGAATGGAATGGGAAAGATTTTTGGCAGTGGGAGAAACCAGAGTTGCTGATCCTTCAATATGCTCTGCATATTGCAGGTCTCAAAGAGTTTTCACAATTTCTCATTCAGGACTCACAATCACCCTTGCCAGGATGAGGGAATTACGCAAGCTTTCCAGGTGGAAACACCATGCCTCAGGGTGGGAAAGTCACTTTCCTAGAGCCGAACACCTGGGAAACATGGGCAGGATTCCAACCGGATCCTTTCAACTCCAGGGCGGTCAACCAGCTCCAAGTCGGCATTTCTCAGCCGGGACCACATGCTTGATAGGGGATGGAAGTAGAAACAGTGACTGGGGCAAAGTTGGGGGCTGCTCTTGAAGAATGGGGATGCTGACGTTAGTATCCAAGATGTTGACTCTCTCCAGATTCCTTCTTAAATTTCTGCGTGAAAAGAAGCCATGTGCAAGCTGCCAGAAACACTCTGTCTCCTCACAGGAGGGAGCTAGCATAACCCACAATAAGAAAGACTTAAAAACCAGGCGTCCAGCAGACCTTAGAGACATGTGTACACGCATGCCCTAAGTCGTGTCCCACTCTTTTGCAACTCCACGGACTGTAGCCCGCCAGGCTCCTCTGTCCATGGGATTTCTCAGGCAAGAATACTGGAGCAGGTTGCCATTTCCTTCTCCAGGGGATCTTCCTGACTCAGGGATCAAACCTACATCTCCTGCATTGGCAGATGGATTCTTTACCACTGAGCCACCAACCTTATAGACAGTGGGCCTCAAATTTTCATCCTCTCTGGGCCACTTAAGACAAATTTTTTAAAAATTCATCACAACATTTAAAATAATTACTTGATTCTATAAGGTTAATAATAAAATTTTTATTTTATATTTTATATTTATTTTATATTTTATTTTATATCTTTGAGAGGAAATTCATTTGCAATATTACACCAAGGGCTTCATGTTCTGGACAGTGACAGCATGAAACATTCAATTTCTCAACCTGTCATTTTTTTGCTTGTTTTCTTTATTTTCATTAAGTTAGAAAATCTTACCTCTCAACTAAAGGACATCTGAAATCACAGTGTGTTCTGGAGTTTCCATCAGATATTCAGCTCAGTGTATTCAGATTAAACATGGACTCCAAAACTACAGAAGAGTTTTTTCAGTGATGGCTGTTCTCGCATGCTCAGGGGCCAGCTCATCAAGCTCAAAACCTGGGCTGAAATTTTCTTCTGGGAAACTGAAAATTTCATCCTGGGAGAAAGTGATGGTTGGATTATTAGTCCACTTGGTTGTTTTCCTTCTGGAAAATATTTCCTCATGTCCCATTGACGCTTTGTTGAAAATGTTTTTTAAACATGCCAATAAGAGCTTTACTATACTTCAAAAATCTCTTGTGGAATTAACAGAATTAAAAAATCAAGCATTTAATCTTGTTGTTCAGTCGCTAAGTCATGTCCGACTCTTTGTGACCCATCGACTGCAGCAAGCCAGGCTCCTCTATATGCCACCATTTCCAGGAGTTTGCTGAAATTCCTGTCCATTGAGTCGGTGATGCTATCTAACCATTCTCAAACTCTGTGGTCCCCTCTCCTTTTGCCCTCAATCTTTCCCAGCATAAGGGTCTTTCCCAATGAGTCAACTCTTTCCATCTGGTGGCCAAAGTATAGGTGCTTCAACTTCAGCATCAATCCTTCTACTGAGTATTCAGGGTTGATTTCCTTTAGGATTGACTGCTTTGATCTCCTTGCAATCTAAGGGACTCTCAAGAGTCTTCTCCAGCACCACAATTCAAAAGCATCAATTCTTCAGTGCTCAGCCTTCTTTATGATCCAGCTCTCACATCCGTACATGACTGCTTACTTATGTACTACCTATTTCCCTAGCGTTGCTTCCTACTCATCCCCGGTTTGTTACATCGTTAAAGCAAAATATCTACTCACCCAAATATGTCATAGTCATTGCTCAATTGCATGGGGAGACTTTTTTACTGCCCTACAACATCTCTTGGACAGGAATTTTGTTGATAGTTCATGCTGCCTTCTCTTTGAGTTATTTTTCATTAATGTTCATGTTCACTGAAGGCTTCCCAGTCATGGCATGATGTCTGCTATGAAGAGCAAAACTTTGAATCAGATTTTTGCAATTTAGATATCTTTTCTGCTTAGGAAAAAAAAAGCAAGAGTTTTAAATTCAAGAAAGCATTATAATGCCCACATTCTGGGGGGAAAAAACTTATGTATCAAGGAGGTCATTGTGCTTGTTTGAAAATGACAAAATGTTTTAACGATGTCATGCCATGATGTGGAAATTTTATTTTCAGATATCTGTATTGGATTTGCAGGTTTTTCATGAAAGAAATTATCCATAGAATGTTTTAAATCTTCCTAGAAGGGTTTAATGTAGAATATCAGGTTCACAACATAGAATAGTCCTATGTTCCTAACCTTTAAAGAAGGAACTTGTATGCAAGAGTTTTTCCATTTTTATCAAAATAAAGTGGATTTTATTAACCACTGGTCAGCTTCCCAGTGGGCTTAGTGGTAAAAAAAAATCCACCTGCCAATGCAGGAGACGAGGGTTCAATCCTTGGGTCAGGAAGATCCCCGGAGAAGGAAATGGCAGCCCACTCCAGTATTCTTGTCTGGAAAAGCCCATGGACAGGGGAGCCTGGGGGGCTACAATTCATGGGGTCACCAAGACTCAGCCACGACTGAGTGACTGAGAGCTCACAGACACACAGACACACAGACACAGACACACACACACCTGAAAGTCAAAGTACCCAGTCAGTCTTTGAGATTGGCTGATAGTGAATACTTGTAACACATGTAGCTGTGTCAATGTAAATTCCCCTAATGAAAACTTCCAATTTTAAGTCAATTAAAAAGGAACATTTCACAAATATATTTAAGTCAGACCTATCATACAAGAGCTAGGACATTACTATTATCTTGTATCTGTCTATGTATTCCACCCTCT